GTTAGGAAGCGACCGAGCTTCGAGCAGGCCCGAGCAGTCCTGTAGAAACGGAGAATACTTGACCCGTAGCTTCCAAATCAAACCTCCCGCAGGAATTGCCGGTACAGTCGGTGTTTTACATACCTGAAGATTTCCGTAGGTGCTGCGTTTCAGAGACATCTGCCATATAACCACCTGTTCCAAAAAGGAAAAAAACGTAGCCACTGGATTTTATTTTGTAGGATTGAAGCAGCTCGATGCCCAGATGTGGTCGTGGCACAAATAGACCCCAAAAAATTGAGAAAGAAGCAGACAGTAAACATTTCAGTAAGTTTGAGCTTTTACATGTCTTGAGAGGAAAAAAATGAAGGGGAAAGATACGAATGTAATGTTTATACTAGTTTGGGGGAGTGGTTGGCATAACTAAATAGCACTGCTGGATTTTAAAAGCATCTACAGAATTAATGAAATGTCTGGGTTTGAAGAAACACCTGTTCAGCTGCTGGCTAACAGCAGTCTTCATAACTGATTTAAATTGATAATATCCATGCTATTCGATACACAGCAGGCTATTTTACTGTCTGAGGAAATCAAATGTTGCATTAAGTTTTACAAATATTTCATCATAAAACCTGCATAAACTTTAAAAGAAAGGTATCTCCATATCTATATTTAGGTTTAAATAAATATCCAGAGTAAAGGTAGTAAGTGCAGCTAAGCTTAACTGAAGTTAGATGAAATTCTAGCACCACTTCTTTCCTTTTTGGTGGAATATTTTATCAGTTTTTCCTTACTGCCCAAGAAGATTTTTCTGTTGTCACATTGCCCTGACAGCATAGTTTTTAATCTGCTTTCAAATAGCTCGAGACCACAGTTTGCCTTTCTCTAGTGTTTCACTACTAAATTGCTCAAGTTTCTAGTACTGATGTATGACCATGTTAACTTCTGTGACCATTCTTTTCATTTGTCTCATCTCTTTGTAGTGGCATTCTTAAACATTGGTAGAAAGATTTGGGTTTTTTTTTTTAATAACTCTTTCCTGCTAATCTTTAAAGAGGTTTTCTCTACTTAACTGTCAGTTGATTTCCTAAAACATATTTTTGCAGTCTTCTGTCTTCCTCAACTTGCGGTCTTGGCAAGTAGAACAGCTAAGATTCATAGCATCTGTCCAAGATAAGGAAACAGCACCTTGCTTTTTATAAATAGGGAAATTAAGGCAGAACAATTGCTAAAAGATGATCTTAAATAATTATTTGACAATGTATTTTGAATACTTAGTTTTTCTTCTTAATTGCATATGAGAAGAGTCAAACAATAAATTTTGTCTAAACCGTTTCATCAGTCTTGGATGTGGTCACGAAATTACTTTTCTTAAATGAAGATTTCAAGGATATTGTTTACCTGATGGTAAACACTTACTGATTCTCTCATTTTTAAGGATTCTTCTTATAAAGCTTTCTTTACATTATAATTATTGCCAGTGTTTTCTTAGATTTCCGGATGTCAGCCTGCTCCTGAAGGATACTCTCCAACGCTCAAGTGGCAGCAGCAGCAAGTGGCCAATTTCTCAGCTGTCCGTCAGGTACAGAATGGTGTGCGTGAGGGGACTTGCACTGTCTGGGTAGAACACATCTGTGCTTTATGGGGAACAACCTTATACCTAGTATAGAAATATTATGAGTTTATGGTAGGACAGATGTTTGTAGGCAAACGTTTTAAGTTCTTGAAAAAGAATTGAGTATGTACTGTGTGGCTTTTAAACCTTTGATAAAACTCTTGAGAGTCACGTTTGAGAAAAAATTCTTCAACTTCAGCAAAAATATCTGTCAGTATTTAGATTAAATGATACAGAGTAGCTGAGAGTGGACAAAAATTCCATATGATGTTAGGCAGTTACGTTAAAACGTAGTGCTAGCAGGAATGTTCTGCAGAACTCAACAACTGAAACACAAGTGGATTCTAACCCACCAGGAGATTCATGTACGTAGAACACACTGTCCATTTAGGACACTGTTGACAGTGGTGGCACTCACTATGAGGAGAAATATTGATTTGGTAAAATGTATTTGTAAGGCTGTAGTGTTAGCACAGACCTAAATCCTTCCTACCACATTTGCACCCTGCTCTTAAAGAACAGAACACAACTGGAGAATTGAGCACTCTCTCTCTCTCTCTTTTCCACAGTTCAAACAGGGTGAAATGCAAAACATAATAAAGATGTAGGGAGAGATCATTTATGACTCCAGTACTGCAGAAGGCATGTTTACAATGCATCGATACTGCATTGTAGGAATGCTTCAAGTAACTGAAGTATAACCAGATGCACTGAAGCTGCTGTAGCGCTGAACTTGGGATGAGCTCATTTACCCTGTTTTTTGGGGGAGGTAAATCAGTGGAGATCTGTAATACTGCATCTACGTTGTAAACATTAACTGAGCTAGTCCCTATTTCTACAAGGTATCACACTGCATACTGTACGTTACGCATAACCTAAGGTTTTAGTAGAACTAAGGAAAGTGACATCTAAAGGCATATTCACTGTTCAGGTATTTCTTTTATACACAAATCAGTTGTCTTCTCATCTGTGCCAGAATTAACACTGTGAAGTACGAGAATATCCTAAAAAATATTTAAGAGAAAAAAGAGCATCAGAAGTCACTTGTTCAAACACTGTGCATCAGCTACTGTTACTTACAGCATTTTTAGTGGTCTTTTTTACTGCGACAGTTAACAATTGGATTGGGGAAAAAATTTCTTCTGTTACAAAAACTTTACACTTCTGCACAGGAAACCGTCAAGCACGCCAATTTGTCTTATGTGGCATCCTTGTCAGGTAGAAGAAATATACTAGGAGAGCATGCTTGCCTTCCTTCTAACAGTTCTGTAGACATCTAATCAGATACAGACCACTGTTGGAAACAGGATATTGGCTTTATGTGTGCTTTTGGACTAAATCAAATTTGTTTTTCCTTAAGGTTGTTATACCAAGAAAAGTCTAGAAGACTATTAAAGCTTACTACGTCAACTTAACTTTATGTAGTAGACTTTAGAATTCCTTCAACATTACTGCCAAACACCCAGCATGAGCAAATTGGTTACATTTATACTAAAAGGCATGGCAAATATTTAGCCAGATATGCCTCTGCTGATCTATAGAACATCATAAAATATATTTCTTATACATTTTAAGAGTAATGAAGAGCAATTACAGCTAGGATAAAAGAACTGCAAAGTTAAACTGTGATTTGGCTTTGTTTTAATTCCTCAGAGCCTGAACAAGCACAGAAATCACTGGCGGTCACAACATCTGGACAGCAATGTTACTATGGTGAGTAGAATTCTTAACACTGCTGTGGGTTTTTCCAGTCATTAAATCTGTGGTTAATCTTGCTTTACCATTTAATGCAACAACTTGTAAACATTACTGAGTCTTTTCTTCAGTGTCTTCAAGGTAGGAATATTTCACCCTTTTTTTTTTTTATTTACTTCAGCCAAAATCAGAGGATGAAGAAGGCTGGAAGAAGTTCTGCCTGGGTGAAAGAGTATACTCAGAAATAGATGTACTATCTGATAATGAAAATCTAGGAATTGATTACATAAAGGTGAGTATAGGACTTCTATCTAATTTTCAGCTGCTATTTTCAAGAGTAACTGCCAGAAACAATCCTACTGCTTATTACCACTTTGTGCTAAATAGAATGTAGGCTCTCTGGTGAGCCCAGAAAGTCCCATTTTTTGTCCCTTTTAATTGCAAACTGAGCGAAGCAGAGCACAAGTCTATCCCTTCAGTCAAAAAGTTGAAGAGTTCCTTCATCTGTCACCAGCTAAAGTGCACTACTTTGTTGCTCGCTGAACTGAATGGAATGCTTTCGACATAGTCTGCTTTAGTGTTTTGTAGAACGGTGATATGTGGTTCCCCTTCTCATACATGCTATCCTACAAACATGCCCGTCACTGCATCACTTTGAAAAAACAGAACTTTAACAATTAACAGTAAAAGCAAGGTTCTTTGATACCAAATTTGACTGGACCTTATCTTGAGCTTGCTTGAAGATTTTTTTCAAAATATATTTCAAGCTCAGAACAGACTTTCAAATCACTACAGATGTCTGAGCATCACTTTAAAGTGTTAGTACGTTCTAAATTAGAACAAAAATGTTTTATAATGTCTACATTTTCCAACTTGACATTTTTCAGGTTGGCTTTCCCCCTTTGCTAAGTATTGTAAGCAGAATGAATCAGGTAAGCCTACCTCTTAGAATCGCATAGTGTCATTGCATAAATCGTAATTTCTCATACTCTGTCTGTTACACAAGTCTTACCTATTTTTCTGTGCTAGAGTAGGCAATTGTTTATTAATATTTGAGTTTTTGCTGAATTCCCTATTAGGTGCTTGACAGTGTTTCAAGTGCAGTCCTTCAACTTGATTGTGAACTCTTACGTACACTGCAAGGCTAGAATAATCACACTTATGCTTCCTTTACTACAATGTTTCTTGCTAGTCACCTTTATACAGAAACAACCAGTCAGCATGATGCCTCTCTCCTAATCTGTAGCTACCTTTTGTTAACACAGAAAATTACCTCATATAAAGTTCTTTCCAGAAACCGGTGCTTTAAAACTTACCTTACTCTTATATGTAACTTCAACCTGGAATAAATACCATATAGTGTCACAGTGGATTAGAAATACATAATATGTATCTTTTTAAAAAATCACATTGCTTTTTATATAATGTAATCCTTTGGGTAGAAGGACAGCAAAACAAAAAACTGAACATATTCTAATGTCTCTTTCCGTTCCTCTTTTGAAGGCAACAGTAACCAGTGTCTTAGAATACCTGATAAGCTGGTTTGGAGAGAAAAAATTTACTCCAGAACTGGTAATTTTGAATTTACTCTAACTACTTGCACATGAGCTCATTAAACAAGGGATAAATTGTTAACAGTTTTCTATGAAATTATTTTAGTTTCTAAAGAGTCCTCTAGATGCATGTATCATATTCAGTTACTTTCAAAATTTTCTTGATTAGATACTAAAATGAATATTCACAAAACTTTTTGGAAGGCTACATACAAAACATAACCAATACAGACCTATCAAGTACTGCCAACCTCCCTCCCCTTTTCATTGCTCCCCACATTAACTTAAACCACAAGGTCAGATGAGGTTTGGCACTGGGGAGGGGAAAAGGTCAGACTGCAGCAGCTTTGGTTCTGACCAGTTTAAGGTGTCAGGGTGCTGCACACTGTATTTACCAACACCTCCACTTTAGTTTGGAGATGCATGGCAGGGTGCTGGTAAAGACACATTTAATCTTTCCATGTGCAGCACACAGAGCAGAAAGCTTAGCTGCATTAGTGTGGTGACAAATCAAACCTAGCAAGAAGTTCTGATTGGCAGGGTACATTGGCATGGAGTTTGGCTACAACTAGATTGACTGGCTACGTAATGGCATCGTATCGACAAGAGACCGTGGTGGATGCATCTCATCTCTTTCGGCACCACAAAGCAAGAGTAACGAAAAGCTACTTCCACAATACTAAACACAGGTTCACTACTTTTGAGCCACTTAAAGACCTTTCATGTTCTGTCCTTTTCTGGAGGACTGTTTTTAACCAACATGCTGCAGAGAACATGCACATTGACTTTTAGTTCATTTCCACAATAAAAGCCACTAGACACTGGAATTAAATTGGGAAGTTAGACTGGTAGCAGAAGTTACGTTTGTAAGAACACAGTAGAATCAGGTGAAGTAAAATGCAAAGGACATGTTTTCACAGTGCTGCAAATCTTAAAAGCTGATCTAATGGCATTAATTCCACAAAGATCTGACTTGATACACTCACTCTTCAGGAATGTTTTTCCATAGTTTTTGAGGTTAAAAATTAATAGCTAAGTAATAATCTTCAGATATTACTAAAATAATCCTTCCCTCAGACTTTAACAGTGTAAGCTGTATTAATTTATATCTTGGCCAGTATTCAAAAAAATACCAAAATCCAGGAGTACTGCTCACAAGAAGCTTATCTAGAGGCACAAAATTCTACTGTGTAGTGTTGATTCTGGCACTAGCACTTAAATGCCATTTTGTTTTGACACCTGCACTCCAGGCCTGCTCTGTATAACAAGAGCTGCATGAAACTTCAAGGAAATGCTCATAATTAAAACTTTGTTATTTGAATCCATGCAGGGTAGATGGCTTTATGCACTGTTGGCATGCCTTGAAAAACCTTTGCTACCTGAAGCTCACTCCCTTATTCGACAGCTAGCAAGACGATGCTCAGAAGTCAGAGTACTAGAGGTAAGATTTAATACAACATTGTGCAAAGGACTTGCTGAACTTAGCAAATTATTAGAAGGATGATTTTTTCAGTTTCTGAAATCTTGGTAAGTAATTTTTCTTGTCCTAAGTTTGCTTGAGAACAAAGGGAAGACTACAAGCACATAATGTGGCATGTCACAGCTTTTCTGTTTGACACAGGTAACAAAAGAACTGTTCTAATATTTATTTCTCTTCCAGGAGAACAAGAATGAAGAACAAATATCAGCTCTGAACTTGATAATCTGCTTAGTTAGCAGGTAATGCAACCTACATACCTAAACCAGTAAAGTGTGTCCAGAAAAAAATGTGTGATTACTCTTGTCCTGATCTAGATTCTTTTGAAGTGGAAGTCAGTTAAAGTACCCTGGGCCTATGTAGCAAATATACTTAGCTAAAAGGACTTAAGGTAAACCTATGAGTAAAGTAAACGTATTGGTTTTCTCAGATGAGCCCCCTGAACTGTAAAGCTATAATTATGATATACTAATTAAACACTAAAAGAAGAGCTAGAAAGCAGGGGGTCTTAACACCTCAGAGCAAAGTAAGGAGCATGTTGCATTAGAGGTTTCTTAGTGTATTCCACTTCTCTCCACTAGGTACTTTGATCAACGTGACTTGGCTGATGAGCCTTCCTAGACTGTTTTGAGACTGTCAGGTATTTTGCATTGCCACAGTACAAACAGCATTATCAGAGTTAACAGCAAGACACTGCACTGTTCAGACCTGAAATACTGAACAGTCCCTTCAGTCACGATAATGCATTTGGGACAGCTATGAATAACTGAAGCTGAGCTTTAGCATAAATTGTCAATGTCTCCAACACCATCATCATCACCATAAAATGGTCAATGAAGCATCTGGCATCATCTCTCAAGCTACTATCTCTGTAAACTACACTATTGGTTAGAAATTTCTACCATCTGAGTAACCTTGTGGAGACTGCTATTAGGTGAAGTCTGAGGTTACATTACAAATGATTGTTCTTTATTTAACACACACCTATTGAGGGCTTTTATAATAAAACTGAAGCGTTTTAAAGAGTGTTCTTAAACATTGTGGCTTTTCTCATTCTTCATGCTACTTAACAGCAGCCTTACCATAGAAATCTACACAGCTAGGACTGAATGTGTTTTTTCAAGCTTTGTTTCCTGAGCTTAAGAACTGCTAAGCAGTTCCAACTGTAGCCAGTAAGTTACTGAAACAGATTTTAGTAAAACATAAAACATTACTACTTCCTGAAGTAGTAATAGAATTTTTTAGTAAACAGTTGCAGAAAACAGTGAAAATTATACAGCTGTATTCAATGCTTTTAATAGAAGCATTTATTAAACAGAATGAACAAATTTATTTTCTGTATGGTATCTTGACAAATACATTAGCTCACCTATTTATATGTTTAGCTTGAAGTGCTTCGCCAAGAGTATCAGCATCTGCTTGGTACATACGTGACTCCCTCTGCTTCTAATTATCTTCAACAATTAAAGGAACTATGAATTCTGTTGATAGCAGCAAATTGATACACAGTATTAACTTACATTTGCTTTCTGTATATTGTAGAATTTAAATCACTCCCCTCTCTATTAGAAATAATCATCAACCACAACCAATTATCGATAAACATTTCATATGTCTTTAAATGACTGGCACTTTTGCATATGGAATGGTAGTCTTAACTGCAAAGTGAAAAATTAAAGTGATTGCAGTAACTACTAGAGTTTTAATTCTTGAGATGCAAGTAACAATGATTCTCTACATGTTGATACTGAATGTCTGCCACACTGCAGATGCCTAAAATGTGGTGACATTGAAATGTCCACCTACTAGACATATAGTGCAAGTTATTACTAGTCTCTTTAGTAACATTTTCAGCATGTTGAAAGCAGGATGACTTGGCAACTGAAGAACCCATGAAATGCAAGAATACTAGTTAGCTAATTCTCTAGCCCTACAATTTCAAACAAATCTGAGTTATAAAGGTGAACAACAACCACAACAATCCAGTGTTTCCAATCAGTTGAACAGCTGATCCCCACCTAGTACCACACTACCATAGTTACTTTCATCTCTGCTAGTTCTATCAACAGTGGGACTTGCATTCTGCTAGTCTGAGTTCTGCTCTAGATGTTTCCTAGAACTGTCAAGTTATCCCACTACAACTAATGTGAACTAGCATTCACAGTACCTGAAAAGATCAGAATTTGGTCACATCTAAAGCTCAAGTATCATAAACCCTGGTTATCCCATTTATAATCTATAGCTTGCCAGCTTGCAACAGTTATCTAGAAAAGGCTTGATCCGTTACAAACTTCAGACTTTCCCTAAAGCTTAGTGAAAACAGCTTCCACTGTTCTTGCCCACCATGCAACTGGACAACATACGCTTCTCCCAACATGCAAGGTAGTTGTAACAATCAAAGATGCTGGTTTAACATGTTAGCTTTTCTAGTTAGCCTGTTATTTACCAGTCTCGAATCACTATTACAAGGCATTCTCACACTTATGCATAAACACCCTAAGTTTCTATAATGATTCATTTGAAAGTATAAGGTCTGAATCTGCCAACGGAAAAGTCTTACAGCAAAATTCATTAAAAGTTTAAACAAGATGTTTTCATGCTTACCTACAGCAAGATATGTATTGTTATGCAAACCTCGTAACAAGTAGTATCTAGCAAACCCCAATGTCCTCAAGAGTCTCGGTGATGTCTTTATAGCTTCTCGCAGGCCTAATCATCTTCCTGCACACCCTCATTACAGAAGCGAGCGGTAGCTAGCAATTGAAAACAATTACATTAATATTGAGTTTATACACAACAAGCTGAAACAAATTTCCTTCTTTGACCCATATAGATGGCCTTAGCTGTAAAATTATTCTGACACAAAAAACAGCTGCTAATGTTAGGGAGGAAACTGTTTAACTATGTAGAAACAAGTTATCTTTTCTACCACCCCATTTCATTCCTACAAAGGAACTAAGTCTCCACTGAACACCATTAATGAAGGTTGTGGGTTCACGTGCTAATGACTTCCTTGGAATAATACAAAAGCAACTGCTGCCTCACAGTTCAGATCGAAAAGGGAAAGGAAGCAGTTGGGCGTTCCTGTCAGGTGACACAAAACACATTAGTTTCTTATTCCAATTCAGTCTTGGTCTTTAGGCTTTCACTCTGTTCTCAAAGTGTGCCTCCCGTCTTCCATGTGTGCTGTTTTGGTAATTGAAGTATTTTGCTGGAAACTTTGGAGTAGACAGTTTTTACCATGTGGACATTAATACCTTGACAGAGAATAAATTTCATACCAAGATACAAGGATAGTGTTAAGTTATTTTCATGAACATTTATTTTCTATTTTGGAATTGTGCTGCACACTGCTATAATTTACAAGCTACATACAAAGCTGAACCAAGATACTGAATCCACACACAAAGGATTTTTAAGGTAGATACCCAGATTTGAATGTTCTCTACATCTTCTGTATCATCACCTGAAATTTACCTGCAAAGAAAAAGCAAAGTCAGGTCACAGTATCAGCATTAGAGTTATTTTTCCAAGTACTTATTTTCTTGTGATCATTTTGTTAAAAGAAACAGTACAGAACATTTCAATCTTAACAGTTTAATTATCAACAATCTAGATAGTATTTAAATTCAGCATTTAAATTTAAGTCCTGATCTTAACAGTTTAATTATCAACAATCTAGATATTATTTAAATTCAGCATTTAAATTTAAGTCCCGTCGAATAGCTTTTTCTCTCTTTCCTTTTTTTCTTTAAGTTGACCTATGTCCCACATGACAACAGTTTTGTCAGCTAAATTTAAAATCTGCGCAAAGTCTATGGAAATTTTTTAATCCACCTTAAGCAGCTTAGGTAGTTACAATGTCACTTACTAACTTTCTTAATGACTTCTGTGGAGAAAGAGGATGTATCTAGTTGTTTTTATCTTCACTTGTTCAAACAGCCTTCTAGACATACACCCTTATGCATCTGACGCTTCCAAATGTAAATAAAACTTTAAGTTTTGCTTTCCACTCAATATCATGGAGGTTCACCCTCTGTCAGCATCTTCTAAACACTAAAGCATTCAGTGACAAGCCACATCCTGAAGTCCATACTGACTCCTCTGGCCCAGCACCTTCAAACTAATCTCACCTTGATAAATGCTTACACAGTGATGAAGTCAGGAAGAAAAGTCAGCAAGCGAGCTAATAATTGAATACTCCGAGAACTACTTACACGCAGGCATTGATGAAACTTCGGCTGTTACAATACTCTTTATTCCCAAATTCGATAGGCCTCCTCTGATCAGTCCACAGGTAAATGCTAAATACTGAATACAAAGTTGCACTTTCAGTAAGTGACAAGGGTGAAGCTTGTTGCTAAAGATTGAAACTAAGTAGTCAAGAATAAGACTTGATACTTGGACAAGATAAAACTATGTCAGTTTTGTTACTGTGCTTGAGATACTTTGTCATGTCTCTAATAGATGAAAGCTCCAATATTTGGTACAGCGGAGCTCACGATGCAGATTTCTCTTGTTTGAGGCACTATCTTGAGTCACTTGTTTCTATTTCCATTAAACCTGTAGAACTTAATATCCTTAAAACAATTATTCCCAAACCTTGCCTGAAATTAGCAACTGGTATTAAATTCAATGAAGGAGAAACAGTCCAAGACATTTTTTTCACAGGACGCATCTTGGAACACAAGGGCCTGCAGATATTTAGAATATATGTTGCAAAACAGAAGAAACGTCTCACCAAACACTAAAAAAAAATCCCAAAGACAGTAGCCCGCAACTGTGACGACTAAGAAGACGAGGAGTTAAGTAACCACAAAATGGGGCTGAACGCCCTGTTTCTTACAGCCACCTGAACCAAAGTGCTTTATAAGAGGTTCTGCAGAGGTGCTGATTTCACTTACCTAAACTATTACCCTAACTCAGCATCTACACTCAAAACTATATTTAACTGGTGCAAGATCTTTCTGAATGTTCGTATAATCTCAGAAGCTTGTTCTAGGTAACAGATAGCATCTTCCAAATACGCTTGGGAAATTTTAAAAAAGCTTCAGAAAGCACATGCTTTCCAAAGAGAAAGAAAGAATTCATGTGATAGTGGCAGACAGTAGCAGATCAGCTCCTACTGTCAAGTCATCCAAACATGACAACAGCGCGTTTCACAACTATGAACGTTTCCTGAACCATAAATGAAATCCACTGTTCCAAAACAAGGCGCATCCCCAAAAAGCACAGGTTTTGGAGACGAAACTTTAGTTGCCCTTTTGAAGAGTTTGTATCAATTCAACTACAAAATTTAAAGTTATTATTAATATATCAAGACAATTCAAATCAAACTGGTAGATCCCAAGGATGAAACTGAAGGGTACCTTTGGTGCATGTTCTAAATACTGCTTTCCTGCAGACATTTGTGTCAAGAGACGAAATTTATTGTCTTGAAGGACATAAATACCCTGTTAAAAATAAAAGTTTTTTAGTTAACTATACAGTAACATGTAATCAACATTTTATGTGAAGGGATTTGATTTGTAGATACAATATAAATGTTCTCAGGCTGAAAAACTAAATTTTAGATTAAGGCATGTGTGATTTAAGTTTAAATTGCATTATTTACTTACATGAAATATCAAAACGAAAGACATTTAATTGTCAGTTTACAACAAAACCCCTAGATAATAATATGATCAGTTAGCTCTAAAAAACATTTATTTACACCCTTATTGGAAGAGTCCTTCCATGCTCAGAAATACTAGTTCCATATTAGAAAGTCTTTGTTAATGTATCAAATGCACACTGATTTTTACATTCAAATCTTAATATTCATTTGGTATGCAATTCACTATTCTTATTCTCAAATTCAGTGAGAATTATCTTCTTCAATAGCGATACAGGCAACACCACCAAGCAGGTGATCAAATTAAGCGTCTCATGTTTTCTACATTACCATTTTGTGCCACAATATGCATTTTAATAAATTAAGTATGAACACAGTGTAGCTTATTCTACACCTGTCATTTTAGGCTCTTTGCTAACAATTGTGCTACTTTGGAAACTCATAAACCCTTGAAATTAAATTAAGGCTGCATATGCAATTGAGACCTACACCAAATACTGCAGCTTTCTTTGAAGGCAAAAACAGATTTCTAAGGCAATTATTATCTGTTAAAGTTATTACTTCATAAACAGCTCACAGAGAAATACAACCTATTTTATTTGGCACAATCCTTGCACAAATTCTCTTGTTCCTACCTCGACAAATAGGAAAATGGCCATAGGAAAACGAAGTCATTCAAAACAAAAAAGATTTTTTACTCTAGTAAAATAGTTCCTTAAATTATTTTGATCTTGCTTTACGAACAGTGGCTGTTGATGTAGGAAAGGACATAGATACAACGCAATATCACCAACATATAAATTTAGCAAGTTCTTCAGCTGTTTCTTATATAAGTACGTTCAGTAAAGTGCAACTAAGTGTCTCAACTGCTGAAAACAGTAAATATTCTTCAAAATAAAAAAATAGTTCAACCCATTCTATTTAAATAGATGTTAAGACAGCAATAACACTTTCTCACACTAGTTTTCTACTAAAATTTACTGGGAGATACCTGAAAAAGTTCCTGTTTAAGTCTTAAACAACTATAACCATTACTGTCCTGTCAGTTTGTAACTGCAACAGCACAAATGAAATTCAAACTATTTAGTCTTTTCAAACAGGGTAGCAATAAAGACATCACAAGCAATTATTAAATTGTATTCTGAAGCTACATGCTAACATGAAACTTAAAAACTTGTTTTTTAAACAAAACAAATAAAGAATATTTTGGGTTTCTTATCAGGTAATTAATTCCAGACCAGGAAAAAAAAAAACGTGCTAGTAACTCAAAACTGTTAATGATTTTCTAAGTTAAATCTTATTCTACAGCATTAGTACCTGATGATTAGTCCTTAGGTTATCTATTTGTTTTTTGAATACAGTTGTCCAAAAATCTTTGCAAATGAACTTCATAATATCTAATTCATCCTTGAACCTGGCAGTGTCTTTTGTAAACCTAAGAGAAAAATATATCATTAATGAAGATACACACAACTTGATCGATTAAACAGAAAAACAAAATACTAAAAAAAAAGTACTATGCACCATTATCCAACCATCGTACAGTATCATTCTAGCATCACCCTGCATTCGTCAAGTATTTTAACTTAAGAGCAACATGGTGTTGCTACCTGCAATATGACAGCGGAATAAATGGTTTTAATTATATGATTATTAAAGACAGATGAAGTACAGAAAGATGCAAAGCACTCCATCAGTTTTATCTTCAACTAAATGTCTAAACAGAAGAGAAACAAAAAGCTCACATCTATACTACTGCTTGGAAGGAGTCCTTCAAATATGCAAAAAAGCACTAACACATAGGAACGAATACATAAAACTTGTTCCCGTTTCCCGAAAAGGAACTTCTCTTGCTTATTTCATAATTCTCTCTATCCTCCTTGAGAGTCTTTATCTGGCACTGAAGCACCACTTTGCTCAATGAAAGCATAAATTCAGAAGCTCAAGACTCTCCACAGGACCTCAGAACGAGGGCGCTGAAGTTGGACGTGCGGTAAGTCATCTTGAAGCCCCAAAGGGCCTGGGGAAACAAGGAGGCAACGCGGCTCAGTGGTAAAGTTCAAAGGACTGAGAGTGCTTTAGACAAACGAAACAGGAGTAGCCAATCATAAAAGTATGCTTAATAAAGGAATCATAAAGAGAAGAAAATCATGAAACATACCAGAAGTAGGAAACACGCAAAAGTAGGTCTACAAAAAGTGCAGTTAAAAAGGATCATTGTTAAAAGTAACCCATACGCTCAGTTTTCATCTCAGAAAGCACTAGAAAAACACACACTCCAAAACTGTCCCGTGCCATTCAAACACAGGTCCCTGCAAGGAGATGCCAAGAGAGGACACCAGAACGTATAGTAAGAGGAACAGACCCGC